CGAACCCACGATCCAAGCGTTCGAGCAAGCGAAGACAGTTCATGCCTTAGACCGTGCGGCCACTGTGATCACCTGTTCTGCCTGACTACACGGCAAAAATGGTAAATACACTCATATTCGCCGCTATGAGAACCGTCTCTGCCGTCTAGTGGTCAGAGTTCCTAGCTACAGATCCGGAGGTCCGGGTTCGATTCCCGGCGCTACTAGATTTTCTGAGAAGTAGTGGGTCTGGAACCGGATCCACTCAGCCTCGTGAGGATAATTGAGGAGCTATTTCAAGGATATATCGGCTCTCCGGTCTAGAAAACCGAGATTAACGACCGCGGGGATTCGTTGCGCTAACCACGCGACACCATCTATCCGCTAAAGTTGGCACTAACTTCGCCGACAAGCGCCGGTCGCTCGGTCGGTATAGTTAGGTTGCGGACTAAAAACCAGGGAGTTTGTTTTTTGTTTTGTATGGAAGGTCGCAGGTTAAAGTCCCGGTGAGGTCACTGGATTTTTTTTTTCAATTGACCTAATCCTTCCAGCCGCACTATGGCCCTGGGGTTCACTCAGCCTCCAACAGAAATGAGTACCAGGAATTAATTAAATAATTTTCCTGGGGAGTAAAGCTGGGCTGGCGCGTAAGGCTGACAACCTTACTGCCATCTTTGAGCTGATTGTCTAGATAATGTGGGACTCTCAACGTCTCACAACCCTATGGGCCTTCACGGCCTGTTATAGGGATAGCTTTACTTTACTTACGTAATTTAATTTTATGAGAACCTCAAAATTGTATTTAATTGCTTATATTAAACCGTCGACACAACAAGTAGTATGGGAATATCTTCAATAAAGACAATAGGTGTTGCTATATATCTTACGTGTATGATATAAACTGTGCTACATGTTTCGACCATATAATCGGGTCATCATCAGGCACTTTTGAACATAATTAAAGTGATTAAAATATTGGTTCATAAGTGCCTGATGATGACTGATTTTATGGTCGAAACATGTAGCACGGTTGCGTTTATATTACACACGTAACATATATACAAACACATACTGTCTTTATTGAAGATATTCCCATATTACTTGTTGCGTAGACGGTTTAATATAAGCAATTAAATATATTATATACACAACTGGATGCAGTCTGTAAAGTTTCTCAGAATTCTCGTTATGAAATGCGAACAATTCTCATACATCCGTTCCCTTCTATTTAATTATCGCAAAAACCTCACAGCGGCTTAAGGAAAATAGAACTGGATATAAACTGTTTCATTTTTTCTCTGTCGTTTATGCGAAACATTTATCGCTCTGATAAATACATAATTAGCGACTTCAGCAGCGAGTTACGGTCGCAATGCCCCATAAAAGTGCGTCGTCTTCAAGGAAGTGTCTGTTGTTATTTCAGTCAAAACTGGTATAAAGGGTAAAGTTGTCCCCGTGCTTAACTAATTAAGCACTATGCCATGGAGGCGTAGGGTGCAGTGGATGTAGAGATCCACATTATCTTGACCTCGGCACTAGCTGGAGGTAAGTGGTCAGCTTCACGCCCCGGCCGCTTTACGCCCGGGGAAAAAACCTCGGTACCCATTGGATAGGAGGTTGGGCGAACCCCAGAGCCGGTCTAGACGACATGAAAAAGTGAAAATTCTTGCACCCACCGGGAGACGACCTCCGACCCCTTGGTCGTCCAGTCCGTAGCCAGTCGCTATCCCGGCTCTTCAAAACTGGAATGGATAGAAAATTTTTAATTTAAATTCCCTATATAAAATTACATGAAAATCTCTTCCGCTATTATCGAATTGTTTAATCCGTACAGGCGGACAAGCAAAGAGATCTGAATAAGGGCCCAGTCAGTTCGAACGACCACTGCTGACCGCTGAGTATAGGAACTTCGGGGATGTACGAATCGCGTTAACAATTCTGAAGACGTTTACTCGCTCGTTTAAATATCTCTAAAATCGTATGATGTAAGGAAAAAGTGTAAAGTAAAAGCTATCCCCTGTAACCGGTCGTGAAGGCCAACAGGGTTGTGAGAGGTCGAGGCGCCCTCATTTTCCTAGACAGTCGCATTACGCACCAATCGCCCTTTACCCACCACGAAGATTTCTGGTACTCAGTTCTGTCAGAGGCTGAGTAGATTCCAGGGCCACAGTGCGGCTGGAAGGATTAGGTCAACTGAAAAATCCAGTGACCTCATCGGGAATTGAAGCCGCGGCCTTCCGGCTTCTGGCACAGAGCCTCAACAAACTATGCTACCGCGTAGCCCTTGGGAAAATGTGTTGGACATAAAATGTGTTCCATTTTTCCTTCCTGCTTTTCTTCAAAATATTTTTCGCTGCGATAAATACTTAGTGGGGTATGTGCTGAAATATACGTATGTTTTTACTTAACGTGGTCACTAAATCTCGCACACTCCTGTAGGAACAAAGGATCGAGGGCGTTTGGCAGCAGAGAGGAGTCTGGCTCCACGGAGATTCCTTCTTCTTCAGAAGCCAACAGTTGCTCAGCCACAAGAGAAAAAAATCGCAGCATTTTATGAAACCAGAAGATTCATTACTGTGTTCTAAGGAGCCTGCCACTGATCTGTTTCCTGAGTCAGACGAATCCAAGCCATAACGCCATCCTATGCCTCTAACTTCCATGTCAATATTACCCTCCCATCTTCGTCCAGGACTCCCTAATTGGTCTCTAGCCTTCAGGTTTCTCTACGAAAACCCTGTATGAATGCTGCACGCCCTTCAAATCTTATCCCTCTGGACTTTATCATGCTGATAAGTACAATTTATGAACGGGGTCATTATGCAGTTTCTCCAGTATCCTCTTACTTTATCCTTCTTCGGTCCAAATATTCTCCTCAGCGCTCTGTTCTAAGGACCCGGAACAGCTCAGTGCGTATAGCAGTGGGCTACGGGCTGGAAGGCCCGGGTTAGATTCCCAGCAGTGCAAGATTTATCTGTTCTCCGCAGCGTTCAGACCGGTTCTAGGGCCCACCCAACCTCCTAACCAATGGGTACCGGGAGCAAAGGGGCCGGGGCGTGAAGCTGACCACTCACCTTCATCCAGTACCAAGGTCAATGATGGTGGAGCTATACCTCCACTCCTACATATGTCTTCATGACATAGTGCTTAATTAATTAAGGACAGGGACAAATTTACCTTTTTACACTGCTTTCTTGCTGGTTTCTTACTCAGCTTATTCTTCGACCATGACGACGTTGATTGAAACATCGAAATACTAGAACGCTACCAGTCAAAGGTACTTCGCAAGATAACCAATGCCCCCTGGTATGTGCTCAACAATGTCATCCGGAATGACCTTGGTATGACTACAGTCAAAAGAAGAAATAAAACAACTTAGTGTTAAATACAGTAACAGACTTAACAAGCATCCAAACGCACTAGCAACAGACCTCATGAGCCAGCCGATTGGGAACAAAAGACTTAAACGCTTCGCGCCAAGTGATCTGCCGGGCAGATTCTGGGCATTATATTTAGTATATAAGCTAGATTGAGGTTATAGATGTAAGTTAGATGTAAGTTCTACTCCTGCAAACACAACTAATCTGTATTGATTATTATACGAAAAGCGTCTACTAATGAGTAGCCTCCTACAAGCCAATATTATATGATCCCACCGTTTGCTTATTGTAACTTTTACAGATTGCAAAAAAAAATAGGAGACATTAAAAAAAAACTTTCAACGGACTACGCGGCCTTGTAACCCTGAACATAAATACCCTTCATAACCATCGCTGTGAGAACCTCAAATCCTAACGAAGAGCTGCCTGCATCTACCGCGTAAAAAGCCTTTGCTCACTAAAGGGCACCACGTACCCTGACAAAATGTGTCCAAGGGGATGTTTCAGGAGGCAGGCTGTCGTGATGTACTCGTATATACCTGTTTCGCTACATGATACCTAGAGGCTAACACGGGAACAATGTATGTATGGTCACTGAAACTGCCTACCGCGTCCCTTACGAAACCATACACACGCACAATTAACACAATATGAAGCAAAAAACGGATAACTACTTTCATGCTGATAGTTCAGTCGGTAGAGCAGGCTAGGGTTCTGACGAGCGAGGAGTTTGATTCCCGGTAGAACCAATAGTTTTCTCTTCTCTATAAGGTCCCGGCGGCCGGGCAAGGTAGTCGAGCGGTCTAAGACATGTACTGTTTTTGCTAGCTCGAAAGCCGGGATCGTGGGTTCGAATCCCACACGAGGCATCGATATTTGGTGAGTGTATGCGTTTATTCTGTGTTCGTGTTATCGTGTGTTTAGGTAGAGGCCTTGCGACAAGCTGATCACCCATCCTACGAGCCCTACCATCTGTAAAACGATCATGAAACTGAGAAATCAGCCCTATGCTCGAAAGTGGGAGCAAGAGGAGAGAGAAAAAAAATACGTCCACACGGGCTTAGGGGCCCAACATGCCTCCTATACAATTATCACCGGCAACTGTTTCCGGAGTGTAAAGCGACAGCAGCGTGAAGCTGACCACTCACCTACATGTAGTCCCGAGGTTCAGAAAGGTGGATCTATACCACCAATCCCCTTACGTCTTCATGGTGCAGTGACTGATTAATTAATTAAGCGCAGTAAATAACTTTACATTTACTTCCATGCTTATACTACGTGAAGGGTTGCATCGTCAATAGGAAGTTAGTAGGAACCACCCTCCAATATTGTTCGAGGATTACGCCTCTTGCAACTTTTCTTCTTTTTCACAGTTTTTGACGCATTCTGCCGTGCTGTAGCTCTGAGCCCAATCAACCTTGGTACACTCACTAAAAAACATTTTACTCAGACATAGGACGAGGCCGCGTCCTACCGACATACAATGGTTACGTCACTAGCCACATATAATGCAATTCCACGGTTTGGTAACATGATATAAGAACACCTGCACTATCTAAATCATAAGCACAGCCCCTGTAGACATCCAATCCTCTTATTGCAAGCAAGAATTCTGACCTTGCATTCCTCAAATGAATTGCATACCTGTTCGTAAAGTTGTCTTGGTCATCTCTGCCGGTGCCGTCATCTTGCGCCTGCTGAGGACATTCCATTGTCCCCACGGGCGTGTGCATTATCCTGCGCACAAATACACCAAAGAGCACAGGTTATTCACACACGCATCTGTATTTACAGTCTTCGCACAAAGTAAACACATTTCAATGTCAATTCTTAAACTTACACTTATAACCGCGATCTTCCGTTCTGTAGTATAGTTCAACTAACTACGCTACCGCGTACTCACAATAGTGATTTATTTTTTTTACTAACTTACTCATGGAGCTGAGCCCTTCTTGAGGAGCCGCCAATTCTGCAGCTACTCAAAAATTTCCCAGTATTTTATCGAACCCGAAGGTTCATTACCGTGTTCGCAAGAGGCCTCAGCTGGTCCTTATCCTGTGCCAGACCAATCCAATCCATACCATCCCAACCTATCTCTCTAAGATCCATTTTAATATTGTTCATCCACCTACGCCTTGGTCTTCCCAATGGTCTCTTTCCTTCTGGCTTTCCCACCAATATACTATATGCATTCCTCATNCCTCCCTTAATGTCAGAGACCAAGTTTCACACCCATACAGAACCACGGGCAAAATTATAGTTTTGTATATTATAATTTTTATGTTTTTGGACAGCAGACGAGAAGACAAAAGGTTCTAGACTGAATGGTAGCAAGCATTACCTGAGTTCAATCGCCCCTTAATTTCCTCTTGAATCAGGTTTCGATCTGTTATCGTTGTTCCCAAATATATGAACTGTGCCACATTTTCAAAACAGCTGTTTCCTATATGTCATGATTTTGCCCTGCATTTTGATGACGAGACAGTAACATATACTTAGTTTTATCTGTGTTTACTTCTACACCAACCTCTTTACTTGCGTCAATTAAAGTCTGTGTGTATTTCTTTATGGTATCTACATTATCACCCAGTAGATTCACATCATCGGCATAGACCAACAGCTGATGTGTCCCGTTTAATTTCAGTCCCGCCTGGCTTCCCTGGACCTTCCTAATGGCATATTCTAAGGCAAAGTTGAAAAGGAGAGGTGATAAAGCATCTCCTTGTTTTAGACCATTCTGGAAAGGAAATTTATCAGACAAATGATAGTATGTGGACATAACATACTATATCATTCACCATCGGTAGTCAATAATATTTCTTGTTAGATACGAAAGTTCGGCTACGGGCTACACAGCTGGGGTTCGACGCCGGGCAGAAAATACGTACTTTTTTACCTTTACCATCACTTCCAGATCTGATATGAGATACAAGCCTTCAAACAAATTGGTAACGGGGATTCTCTCCCAGTCTTATTTATACACGATGTTTCAAAAGTAACTTCACGACTTTGAATGTATATATACATATAATAATAAGAAATGGTAAAGCTGTCCTTGCCGGTCACGGTAGCCGAGCGGTCTAAGGCATGCACTGTCTTCGCTCGCTCGGAAGCCGGGATCGTTGGTTNCAGCTGATGTGTCCCGTTTAATTTCAGTCCCGCCTGGCTTCCCTGGACCTTCCTAATGGCATATTCTAAGGCAAAGTTGAAAAGGAGAGGTGATAAAGCATCTCCTTGTTTTAGACCATTCTGGAAGTGAACGGAGAAGTTCATGGAGATAGGCCTAGGCCCACTGGGGCTGTAGTGCCAAGGAAAAAAAAAGTGTCCTTGCGCTTAACTAATTAAGCACTATGACATGAAGGCGTAGGGAACAGCGGATGTATAGATCCACATTTTCTTGACCTCGGTAACAGCTGGAGGTGAGTCGTCAGCTTCACGCCCCAGCCGCTTTACCCCCGGGTAAAGAGCATCCAGTACCCATTGGGTAGGAGGCTGGGTGGCCCCCAGTCTGGACGATTTGGAGAAGAGAAAATTCTTGACCCTACCGGGACTCGAACTCTGACCCCTAGGTCGTCCAGACCGTAGGCAGTTGCTATACTGAATGCGCTATCGCGGCTCCCTATTTATTAATAAGTGTTAAATAGAAACCAGATAAATAGAAATATAGTCAAACAAATCAAGTTTTGTCTGATGTACCAGGAATGCAGTTCAATGTGACTTCCAGATGTTAACTAACTAAACTAACTCCATGGAGCCGAGTCGGTCTTAAGTCACCAGTCTCTCGGCTACTCAGCAATTCACAAGTGCCCGCCACTGGTCCCTATCCTGAGCCAGATCAATCCAGTCCATATCACCTCAATCAATTTCTCAAAGATCCACTTTAATATCATCCTCCCACCTAACCTAGGTAACTTTAGTGGTCTCTTTCCTTCTGATTTTCCCACCTAAAATCTGCACGCATTCGTCTTCTCTGCATGCGTTCCACATGTCCTACCCAACTCATCCTCCTTGACTCTATCATTCTAATTACATTAAGAGAAGGACAGGAGATATGAAGCTCTTCATTAAGAAATTCTCTTCAGGCCCCTGTTGTTTCATCCCCCTTCGGTCCATATATTATCCTCAGCACTTCCAACCGCGGCGGCCCGGGTTCGATCCCGGGTCTGGTCAAGTGGGATTTGTGGTGGAAAAATTGGCGCTGGGGCAGGTTTTCTCCGAGTACTTCGGTTTCTCCTGCCAATCTTCATTCCACCAAATTCTCCATCATCATAATCACCCGGGGCAGGCTACAATAGGCCAATCAGTGGCCGCCGTGCCGAATGGGCACAGTTGGACTCCATCCCCACTAAGAGCCCTTAAAAAAAATCTCAGCACCCTGTTCTCAAATACCCTTTTTTATTGCTAGTGGGGTGGGACTAAGTCCCTTGTACTGCGGCCACTTCTGGCCTATTGTACCAACCCTAGATGATAGGTGAGGGTGATTCTGGAGCAATTGGTGGAAGGAAGATAGGTAGGGGAAACCGAAGTACTCGGAGAAAACCTGCCCCAGCACCACTTTGTCCACCACAAATCCCACTTGACCAGACCCGGGATCGAACCCGGACCGCCGCGGTGGGAAGCCAGCGACTAACCGCTTGAGCTATGGTGCGGCCTTTTGCCGAATTTAATTCGCTCTTAATTCCATCCTAAATCAAATTCTGGTTTGTTATTGTCGTTCTCTAACGTCTGAATTTTGCTACATTTTCAAAGAAGCGCGACAAATATCCCACCTATAATGACTTTCTTCCCAGGTGTTACGTAGCTTGACTGGCCTGATTTCTGCAAATGCGCCTGTAATTCCAACATGTGCAGATAAATGTGGAAAGTAGACGTTATCCTCCCCCGCATACTTCCCTTAGCTACTTTTGAAACACCCGATATGAAACACTACGGCCGACAGCACACGCTCCTCCTTGCTCCTCCAAGTTCAAGCATCATTGTTACCAACCGTCAGCTGTCTATCCCTCTTGGCGCCAAGCCCCTCATGGGGCCCGTGACCAAATTTATTTTTAGTTGTTCAGACATTTGTGTTTGTTACCATCGCGAAAGCTCCAGACTAGAGGACGGGTCTATCCTTTGTCTAGTGGGCATGTCTGTGTCAATGTCAAACTATAGTTTCATATTTAGGTACAATTTTATACAAATCTATTAAGTAACTCGACGGAGAGGAGCCGTTCTTGAGAAGCCGTCAGTCGCTGTCACTCGAGAATTTCCCAACATTTTATATAACCCGAAGTTTCATTGCCGTGTTCACAAGAGCCCTCCACTAGTCCCTATCCTGAGCCACATCAATTCATATAACCCAATCACAAGATCCATTTTAATCTTATCCTCCTAATGTCCTCTTTCCTTCTGGCTATCCTACCAAAATCCTACATGCATTCCTCGTCTCCATTCGTGCTACATGCCCTGTCCATCACCTTGACTTGATCATTCTAATTATACTTGGGGAAGAGTACAAGCTATGAAGCTCCTCATTATGCAGTTTTCTCCAACCTCCTGTCACTTCATCCCTCTTCGGTCCAAATATTCTCCTCACCTCAGCACCGTTCTCAAACACCCTCAGTCTATGTTCCTCAGAGAACAAGTTTCACACCCATACAGAACCAGAGGCAATGTTATAATTTTGTATATTCTAATCTTTACGTTTTTAAGCAGCAGACGGGAAAACAATAGGTTCTGGACTGAATGGTACAAGCCTAACTCGAATTCAGTCTCCTCCTAATTTCCTCCTGAACCAAATTCCGATTTGTCACTGTCATTCCCAAATATCTGAACTGTACCGTGCACACCAGTCCTCAATTTGCACACAGCTTTCAACCTTCCGTATGCATACAATTATATAACAAAATTGTGCAGACAACAAACAGAAGTTATACACAACCACAAGAATGAACATGTTCGCGGTACACGACAAGGTGAAGCCATACATAGAAAATACAGTATAAGAGGCTTAAACTTGGCGGTGGTAACGCTTACTGCCGTTCAAGTGACTAAGCTGCCGTTGGAGCATATGATACGTACGATAAGCATGACCTTCTCTGTGAAGCCTGTACTGAGAGACGACTTGTATGTGGTGCAAAAGGAAAAATTTCCGGTAACATGCTGTATGTTGACGGAAGGCCAAGCACAGTCATAAGAGACAAACCCATCTTCCCGCCAGCTTGTCAGAGAGGATGTTACATAAGGACTATTACCGCAAGAGTTCAGTTGAAAAACAAAACTCTGGTCGTGGGTCTCAATGGGCCTGACGCCAAAACAAATTGATTGGCGATAAACCGCCAGTCGTAAAGTAACTCTGACTCTGATTCTGACTCTGATTCTGACTCTGGCTCTAGCTCTAACTGACTGAGCTCAGTTCAAGGAATAATCCCGTGTGGAGGCGGGGTCGAATACCTCAAAATTCTATAAGAGATGGGATAGCGCCATCGGTACAGCAACTAGGTTACGGACAGGTTTACCGAGGAATCGCCCTTTCCATTCCCGGCAGAGACAAGATATCTTCTTCTCCACAGCGTCAAGACCAGCTCTGAGGCCCACCCAGCCTCGTATCCTATGCGTACCAGAGGCTCTTTCCCCATGGATAAAGTGATCAGAGCGTGAAGCTGACGACTCAGCTCCGTTTAGTATACCGAATGAGTGGAGCTGTTACTCCATTCCTTGATACAGGCAAGTATCCGTGACGTAATGGTTAATTACGCACAGGGCTAAATTTGCTTTTTTACTTTTTCGCGCAAAAGAAAAGTCCATACATGGAACAGTCGCTATGTAAAGTGCCCTATAAATTTATCATTATGACACAATTCTTCGCGAAGGTTAATCTTAAAATTAACTGTGCTAAAAAATTGCAACATGGACGTTAACGAATTGCAAAAGGAACGGAACATGAATCTTACTTTCATTCTCCGGTTCCAAAAACGAAAGGCTATGATACACATACATAAGGCTGTAGCCCCACGCGGCAATAAGTCCTGTAAATACGAGTACGGAAAAGATGGCGCTTATGAACCGCACGTAATTGGTTACCTGGCGTCGAAACTCTGGGTAACATCGAGCGCTTCATGCATGCGTCATAGGCCTACAGAAAATGTAAAGTTGTCCCTGTGCTTAATTAATTAAACATTCTGCCATGAAGGGATATAGGGGAGTGGAGATATAGCTCTATCAGTCTTGACCTCTACACTAGATGAAAGTGAGTGGTCAGCCTCATGCCCCGGCTGCTTTACCCCCGGTACCCACTTGATAAGAGGCTGGATGGGCCCCAGAGCCGGTCTAGCCAATCTGGAGAAGAGAAAAACCTTGCCCCCGCCGGGAATCGAACCCCGACTGTCCAGCCCGTAGCCTGTCACTATACCGACTCCAAGAGGCTCACAAAGTACTCGTACACTTAAATTCCAGCAGTGCACATCGCACGATTCTGGTTATTTATCTATATTAAGAGTAGCCTAATATGTTTTACAGCAGAACATACTCGTACAGGCCTATCAAACACGTCAACACATATCTGCTTTACACAATTGAAGCACTGTCCTGGTATTTGCTTAAAGGAACTGCCGAAACCTCAGTCCGGTTAGGTAGCATCCCTCCCAAGCACCTCTAAAACACGAAAATAGCCATCTTATGGGATATAGCGCCATCTAGTCCGTATATTAACCGACGTTTCGGATAAACGTGTCACCTCCATCTTCAGGGTCGAAAATGAGCCGAGCACGGAACAGGTGGCTAGGCACAATGAGCTGTCAGGATAACAATTATACAGGGACCAGGGGTAAGAGAAAGGGGTGTTACCCAGTCCCCATTGGCTCGCTATTCTCTCTCGCCTGGCTCTGCGGGCTAGCCAATAGGAAACTCTGGTCCCTATATAATTGTTATCCCGACTGACAGCTCACCTGCTTTCACCGATTTCTTGCTCGGCTGATTTTTGACCCTGAAGATGGAGGTGATACGTTCCTCCGAAACATCGGTTCATAAATGGACTACACGGCGTTATATGCCAGAAGATGGCAATTCTCATAACTACCGCTGTGACGACCTCAAATCCTACACCTATAATATACTGCCACGCCGTGTAATCTGGTAGGAAGGTACCAACGTTTCGGAAGAACTGCAGCCCCCATTGTCATAGTACGGGCAGGTTGCTTCAAGTGATCGTACGTACCTACAAAATTACCAGGCGTCAACCCCCCCCCACCCCCCAAAAAACACTAATGTTCAGTCACTCGCCATAAGAACATATTTTCTGAACATGCCTACATTTGGCGATATATCTTTACCATACGGCGATCTTTGCGCCATTCTGCATAGGGCGAAATTGAAATAAGGCCAAAATTCAGTAACAGACTCCTTATTGGATATAATGGAAAGGTTTAGGTCTCAAGAAAAAAAGTAAACAAACTCGACGACAGGTACACATGGTCAACGCCACTGTATAGACCTCCTTGCCTTCGAGGGGCTAAAAGAGCTAATGTACATAAACATGCAAACAGTCTTCCAGTGCACGCATAGCGTTCAACTCTGTCCTAACATCGGGGTACCCAGCAACCTTTAGTAGCACCTGCTATCAATACAGCAATATCCATCTGTTGGTCATGAAATAATTCCTTCATATCGGTAATGCACAAGCGATACAACCTAATAGTTTCCTATTACATTACATTTACTAATATTTACACAACTTTCAAGAGGCTTTCTTAAAGAATCTGTACAAATGAACCACTGTCAAGATATTATATGAAATCACACTTTATACGAGTTTCAACCATCGTCACTTTCAGCCCAAGGACTCCTCGATCTCTGGGCAACCCCGTCACTTGCCAGAGAATGTTAACATGCATTACGAACACCATGCCAGGATACCCACACAATCATCTCAGGGAATGTAACAGCCTTTGCCTGGTGTTGCTATGTCACCGCGCATCTGACGATGTTGCAGTCCTTGTTTCAGAACCGAGTGGATAAACGGAATCTCAAGACGGTATACACTGGATTATGATAGGTAGTAACATGTTTATATCTTCCATTAATACCATTAACTTCAATAAATTTGGAGTCGTTTATCAGCATTAAAAATAATACGCCAATACATAATTCTCTCCAATTACACAAGAATATCATATCACCATTTCGTAATTTTAACAAACAAAATATATTCGTCGTTATGACAATCTTCAACCTTCCAATTTCTAATGTCCAGTAAAATTTTCCTTATCATGCATCGCAACATTCTCAAGACAAATAATATAAGCAATGAAAACTGTAAGTAAAACATCTGTAACACTCAGTTCACTCAATCAGAACAATCCTGCACAACTATACAGGAAACAGCAATATCAATACACGTAGCTTACCTAATTGTGAATGGGCAGCTTCAAGTGACCCCACTTGGATAATGAACTGTGTGCTGGGAACATCCGAATAACACTGTAAATCTCGACACACATCAGCAGCACAAAGAACACTTCTTCAAATACTGTATCGTAAGGCCAACCCTTCCACACGCTAACCACCGTTCACGCGCTCGCATCTTGTCACAAAGTGCTTTACACCCTTACAAAACGTCAACTCCCCCCTCCCCTGACATAGTAGGAATGCAACATGGCGGACAGGTAGAAGAGCGCGGGTGCTCGCTGTTGGTCGCGGTCGATGTATACCACGATTACGTCATGAGGGGTGGGGTAAGAGATGGTGGGGACTAACCTAAGAAAGAACGTGGGAGTAAAATTTACAGCTTCGAAAATACATCATACAAAACCTGAGATTATAATATAATAACCATCATTTAATAATATGTTGTAGAAAAACGTGCTTCCGGACGACAATCGCGCGACCAATGAAGTGACTGTCAGATCAATACTCCAGACCACGATGTCTCTCCCACTCTAATATCGATACACCACGGTGATCAGCGAAACGAATAATCTCGGCAGGAAGTACTTTCGCCCAAGACCAGTAGCATGTCGGAGTTCGGACTCCTTTCTGCAGAGCATATAACGTATGTTTCTGTTTGCTGACGTCCGACTGGAGACACTGGACAAGAGGGCGCCCAGATGTCGATCGATAAACTTCGAACGTCGACGAGATGGCTGCACCGCCCGCCGTAATTTTATAGAGCTAATGCACGTACTTTCTGCGGCATGTACTGTCTTCGCTCGCTTGGAAGCCGGGATCGTGGGTTCGCAACCCCACTCAGGGCATAGATGTTTTTTTTTGTGTGTGTGCGTTTTTCTGTGTTTGTGTACAGGTAGAGGCCTTGCGACGAGCTGATCACCCGCCGAAGGAGTTCTACCAAATGTGTAAGATCTAGAAAAACCGAAGTGAAGGGAGAAGTTCATGGAGGTAGGCCTAGGCCCACTGGTGATGGGGTGCCAAGGAAAAAAAAATGTACTTTCTGCAAAAGAGGACTAATCTGTATAGACAAATATGCACGTGTTTCTGCATCTAAGGCTGGTCTTGTCTATCTGCCCACATGTCTCAACTCGAGAATCGCTAGATGGATTTTCATTAAATTTTATACTGGACAATTTTATGAAAAACTTTTAAGCTATTTCGCTTTTCATTTAACTCATCCATGTTTAATAATGACTTCACACGAAAATCTCTAGGCGTTCATGCGCTTATGTCGCTAAAATTTCGTTAAGGAAAAATGCTTTGAACAAAAGCTGTAGAGAAAAACGAATCGCACATTTTACGTTCTATGTATTTTCTCCGTTAAATCTTACGAATTTCAACACAATTAAACAAAAGGGATGTTATGAGTACATGTTCGGATATTGGATTTGGGGGTCCCACAGAGTTACTCTTATGGAATGTAACGCCGTGCAGACCGGTACAAGTCTATCGACGTTTCCGAGAAAAGTGCTGCCTCCTTCTTCGGGGTGAAAGTGTAACCCCAGCAAGAAGCAGACGATCCGCGTGCCGAAACCCAGCCTCTCGCTTATTTCTTTCTTGGCTCACTGTTCGGCACAGAAAATGGAAGCAGAACATTCTCCTCAACGTCGGTGGGCGTCTGCCAGACTGAACGGAGTTACATCTCAAAAGATAGTACTCTACATTTTTGCTCTCCCACGTGCAACAGTGAACACAGTTGCGGTCAAGAAAAACAAGACAGATTTTATTTATTTATACTGCATTAAATAATATCTATTTTGTTCGTCTGGTATAATGATTTACTACAACACGACTTTCAAGCACACATTAAACTGTATAAATAGTACCAAAGGCGAAGCTATCCCTATAACAAGCCTTGGAGACCCATAGGATGGTGAGAGGTCGAGGCTCCCACATTTCTAGGCAATCGGCTCACAAATGGCGGTGAGGTTGTCAGCCTTATGTGCCCTTTACCTCCAGGAAGATTCCTGGTACTCATTTCTGTTAGAGGCTGAGTCGACCCCAGGGTCATAGTGCAGGTGGAAGGATTAGGTCAATAGTAAAATCCAATGACCTCATCGTAAATCTAACCCGCGACTTGTAGTATAGTGCCTCAACCAACTACCCTACGCCCCTCATCATATGATACATAACAAGTGTATTTATATACACAATATACAATATATATAAAATGTATTTGTATATGATCATTTGAGCATGAGATGCAAGGAACGCATGTGGAAACTGTGTACAGAGGCACTCTCGATGTGCATTATCTATTGAATAAGCGGTCGGTCTTGACAGCTGAATCAGTAGGCTGCAAATTCTAGAATAATACCTCGATTATTTCACGACACACTTCCTTCCAAGTTATGGTCAGCTTATCAGTCAGCCCGCCATCCGATATTCTACAGTATCGACACTGAAAACGTCGTGAAATAAATTATGGAAAATCAGAAGAAACGAAGGTCACACTTCTGTAAGATCCGCTGAAATTTATCCGCCGTGGTTTAACTCCGACAGTCGCCTCACGTGAGAGACAACTAAACAACGGGAAGACACGGTGATAAGGAAACTTTGTAAGATGAGGCTGGGGGCACGCGGTAGCGTACTTGGTTGAGGCACTATGTTAGAAGCTGGAAGGTCGCGGGATGAATCCCGATGAGGTCATTGAATTTTTTCGCCAGGCCATAGCTCAAGCGGTTAGTCGCTGTCTTCCCATCGCGGCGGCCCGGGTTCTATCCCGGGTCTGGACAAGTGGGATTTGTGGTGGACAAAGTGGCGCTGGGGCAGGTTTTCTCCGAGTACTTCGGTTTCCCCTGCCAATCTTCATTCCACCAATTGCTCCACAATCACCCTCACCTATCATCTGGGGCTGGTACAATAGGCCAGAAGTGGCCGCAGTACAAGGGATTTAGTCCCACCCCACTAGCAATAAAAATAAAATATGAGGCTGAGGAACTCGCGTGGCAGAACCAGGACTCCAAAAGCGCCACTGTGAACAGTTTCTGACATGAGAACGTTATCATAGATTGTTAATAGACAACAAAGTAAAAATGAACGTTATGGTGCGATGTTTATCGCCTTAGGGTCGTGTAGGGAGTGTTTTTTTTTTTTTCGAATATCGCCCTCCAGATCAGCTGTCCAGAATTTTGTCGTGATTTTATTCTATCCCTCTAAGCAGATGTCGGGATAAAAACTTGAAGATAAAGCTATCCTTGTAACAGGCCGTGGAGGCACATAGGCTTGTGAGACGTCAAGGATCCCACATTTTACAGACAATCGACTCACAGATGGCGGTGAGTTCGGCTTTACGCTCCGGTCGCCCTTTACCTCCAGGAAGTTTTCCGGTACCCATTTCTGTTAAAGACTGAGTCGACTCTCGAGCCATAATGCGGCTGAAAGGATTAGGAAAATTGAAAAATCCAATGACCTCATCTGGAATCGAGCCCGCGCCCTTCCGGATTGTAGCATAGTGCTTCAACCAACTACACTACCGTGTGCCTCATCGTAAAAATCGTAAAAACTACAAATAAATAAACATGTTTATAGTAGGACTCCGTGTACGTAGATTCAGTTTATCACAAGGACTCTACCATCACAAGCTAACAGGGAGAAATGAGCACAAACATCCATCTCTTGAGCGGGACTCCAACTATTGTGCGCCAGGGGCCCAAGACCTAGCATAGAATTCTTACAACTTATATTCGACATTCCTACTGGATTTGCAGGAAGGAACATCAGGCTTCGCTATTAGCAACAGGATTAAGATATTACTGTAACATGTGAGGCAGGTACGTTGTAACAAACGCTGGAGAACAGAGAACGCTGTCCTTGGAGCACACGCTGCAGCGGAAAGGAGGGGGCATTTCCTCGGCAGTCCGAGGCACCTGCAGACCCTTCCTTTCCGCATCAGTGAATTCATAAAGCCTCCCTCGGCTTATTATACCTGCAGCAAGCACCTGCCGCTCTAAGGAACAGACTTTGAAGAAGAGTGTCCATGGTAATACACAAAGGATTTTCGGGACATAGGAAAGGATCATTGTATCTGCAAAGTGTTTCGCTTTCGGAATAATAGGCTATGTTAGACGAACCGAGCTAGTAAACATGACACACAGTTTAGCATCCGAAACAAACTACAAGAGGCCAAGTACAGAGTAACCTGTCTTACAAGAACAAGTGCTGAAAAGCTGTAGTTTTACATAACTTCATCATTGGGTTTCGGGTTCAGTTATTACAAACAAAAATCATGCCACTAATACAGTCATATTGTGGGATTCTCGGTTAAACTCTGAAGATGGCGGTAGAATGGTTCTCCGAAACTTCGGTACCTACGTACCAGACTCAGATACGTTGTCATGACCCAGAAAGAGACATACAAACTGTTAGTGTGAAGACATCGTATCTTATAAAGGTCCTATTATAAATTTGAGAAATTAATTGTATTGCACTGTATTTTGGTGTGTGAAGTTGGACACTCACTACCATCTAGTGCCAAGGTAAAGAACGGCAGAACTATACCTCCACTCCCCCATTCGTCTTCATAGGGTGGTAATTAATTGTGTAAGTAGAGGGACATTTTTTTGAAGCACGGGTGACCAACTTCTTTACTAGCATCAATTAGAACTTCCTTGTTTTTCTTCATCGTACACGGCGCATTGTCCAGATCGGCTCTGGCGTACATCGAACCTCTTATTCATTGGGTACCGGGGCTCTTTTCCCAGCGGCAAAGCGGCAGGGGCGTGAAGCTGACCACTCACCTCCAGCTAGTGCCGAGGCCAGGAAAATGTGGATCTATACATCCACTCCCCATACGCCTTCATGGCATAGTGCTTAATTCGTTGAGCACATGGACAAATTTACCTTACCTCTACACAGGCACGTTATTCCTCAGTACTACCCACCTACCTACCACTCGGCGCTACAGCCCTGGGTGAGCCTTGGTCTCCTCTACAACCGGTCTCCACAACCAATGCGTGCTGCCATAGGAATGGATTCACTCATGATGTGTTACTCCTCAGTAGATCTACACAATGCGTAAAGTAAGGTAAACATGCCCCTGTGCTTAATTAATTAAACACTATGCCATGAAGGCGTATGGGGGAGTGGATGTATAGATCCACATTTTCTTGACCTCGGCACTAGTTGGAGGTGAGCGGTCAGCTTCACGCTCCGGCCGCTTTACCCACTGGGAAAGAGGCCCCGGTACCTATTGGGTAGAAGATTGGGTGGACCCCAGAGCCGGTCTGGACGATATGGAGAAGAGAAAATTATTGACCCTACCAGGACTCGAACCCCGAACCCTCGGTAGTCCAGCCCGTAGCCAGCCGCTGTACCGACTACGCTATAATGAATATAACCAGAAGCTGTTGTGTCCCATTCATTTCAGTCCCTCCTGGTTTTCTTGGACTTTCCTAGTAGCGTATTCTAAAGAAGCAAAGTTGAAAAGCAAAATTTTGAGAAGTCGCCAGACG